TTAATGGTTATAGGGCAAATTTAGCTTCACAACGACGTTTCGTCCTGCGTTTTAAGGCAGTGGTGCCCAGCGTCCATTTGTAATGGTGGAACGGAATTATTACCCTCTTTAAAACTACAATTAATTTATTCGTTGATATTTGTAAATATTAAATGATGTGATATGACGTGAGACTACTGATATCAAACAATTTGTATTCCCATTTATTTCTCACTGTATAATCGGGGAAAAATACCGAAATACCGAGATAGTTCTTCTTACATTTTAATGTTTTTATACTGACTTATCACCGGGTCTTAGACTGATTACTTATTATTAGTATAGGGAAAAGTGGATGCGAATTGATCGCTGTTATAAAGGACTGCTTTGTTTGAAATAATGCTGATTTCTTGTTTGTACCGTATTTGGTCTGTGTTGTCTTTGAAAAGAAAAATAATAAAAAGGAAGGAAGGAAAAGAAGAGAAGAGAGAAAAAGAAGAAGAAGAAAAAAATTTAGGACTTCTTTAACTCGAGCAATCACAGTAGAGGACCTTCTTCACTGCCCAACTTATAGCACAAAATATTTAGTTCCCAAGTGGCTTTAAAGAGTTTAGTGTAGTTTTTGCCCTACAGCGTGGCTTAAGGCATATTCAAGTGGGAGAAAATTAGACGCTAGTGGGCTTTGGATTATGGCAAGGTAGAACGAAATTATTAGTTTTTAGAACAAGCGTTATGCTAAAGAACCGAAAACAAAAAAGTCTATTCATTCGCAGTACGTTGACTACTTAGAAACGCTGTCGTCACAATGATCGATTAAAGACATTTATCCTGTAATGTAAAATCTATAAGAATACCGATCTTCAATTCGTCGCTTTTGTAATCATAGCAAATAATAAATTATCATCGAAAAATCAGGCATTTGTTCACGAGTTTTGTATTGTTAAAAATAAAATCCATATCACTATCGCTATTATATCAAAACAAACAAATCTCCACCTGGCTCCATGTCGATTAAGCACCAAGGGAATGTCGTTTATCTCGCATTTAGCTGGCGAATCGTTCTACCGTGGGAAATTTTCACCTCCTTTTGTTATTGAAATAGTGCTTACAAAGCGCGAATGAAGTGTAAAGAAGAATCAACTGAGCACTGAAGCGGGCAAACAATGGGAACAATACCTGTTATGTTTTCTACAGCACGTGGATTACAAGAGAACGACTTAAACTTTCTAAAACGGTCAATATAAAACTGATTAGAGGACTTTAACACTAAAAGGAGAGTTGTGAAACTGACCAAAGCTTAGTGAAATCTATGGAAGTGTCATATCAATGTGCGACACGTGCTTAAATGGCCTTCACGCCCGTTTTCAAGAGCTCCAGATTGTCATTTCCATTTCGTTTTAAAAGTTTGAATGTACAAGAAGAACAGCAACAATTATATGAAGAGAATCGCGCGTGCCTCAGCCAATCAGATTCGTCTGGTCTCACGCTTTTCACGCGCCGCTGAAGGCGGGAAACAATAAAAAAGACGGTTATCGTGCGACTATTAGCGCTCGACCAATCACAAACGACTGTTCCCACGGTTGTGGCTTTGTGTATGAAGCCAGCATTGTTCTCTGCAGCAAGCCGATTGTCAGTGGACAGGTGTTTGTAAATAAGACTCATCTAATGTCGGCACACGACCCCGATATTTTCCCACGACGATGGAATATATAAATGCGTCTGCATCATGCATGTCGGACAGTTCGAGACACGCTCATCGAGTCAACATCTCTGACAAAGTTCAAAAGGAAAACTCAATTCAAAGCTTGAAAAAACATGGCCGTCGAATGCATTGACAGTTCTGTTTACGTTAGCAAGATTCTTTCTGAGAGGAGAAAGGTAAATTTTTAGTTCATCATTTTTTAATTGCTGAACTGTCATTTTTGAAACTGGCGTCGGAGATGCACTTGTTAAGTTTAAGGAACTCGAAATTAAATTATGGATCTTTTTTTTCTAATTAGGCAAAGAAGCCTTTGATGGAGAAAATGCGTCGAGCAAGAATAAACGACAGCTTAAACGAAATGAAGAACTTAGTCTTGGAGCTTCTGCATAAAGACGTAAGTATTGCTCAGATACATTAATCTAACGTAATGCGCATATGAAGATTTTGACGCAGCGGTCATTAATGGCTTTCACGGTATTAGGTCCAGTAGAACACTTGTTGATCCAAGCAAATTCGAGATTAACTTGATTTATACTAAAATTGTGCCTCTCTCCTTTTCAGGCCTCTCGTTATTCCAAAATGGAGAAAGCCGACGTGTTAGAGATGACCGTTTCTTACCTGAAGGCAATGCAGCGAAAGGGAAGCAGTACTGAAGGTGAGATCCCGTGAAATATTCTCACAAACCAGAAATAATTTAGTCACTTAAATAATCGAGTGCTAATAATGGTTTATGACCTTTTTCAAGCCATAAAACCGGAAAACGAAAACTGCTGTCAAGTTTTGATCTTTATTTCCTTCCTGAAAAGCGATGTTTCTTTTCGGAACTGCAACGAACTTCTAAAAGTAACACAGTTTAAATGGCTCAGTTTTCTTCGCACTGCACGTTTGGTAAATGTTTTATTTCCATCATTTGTTTACAATTCATCGACTTTAGTTCAACCAGCGTTTCGTTTCGTTTCAGTTGAAGCAATTTTATCTTACGTGCCTGTGAGCTTCTATTAATGATGCAGAAATCTAATGAAAGGACTCGTTTGTTTTCAGATCCCAAATTACTCGCGGATTACAGAGCTGGCTTCAACCAGTGCGCAAACGAAGTCAACCGAAATATCTTGACAAACGAAGAAAGCGACCAGCTCAGGGAAAAACTCTTGAATCACTTGGCCTCATGCTGCCATGGTAACGCCACAAACCGTGTCGCCACGAGCCACGCACCAGGGATTCCCGCCATGACTCCAGGTTTTCCCGCCGTTGCGCAAAGCGCCGTATGGATACCTTATCCTTCACCGCCACCATCGCCGACAAGCCAATCAGCTTCCATCGTCCCTGTCAGTCCTGTAAAACCTGAACTTCATTGCAAACCTTCTCCAGTCAGTCCATCGGCGGCTTACACACACATATCGACACTTTCGCCGGCGAGTTCGCCGAACGCGACGACAAAAACACCGCTGTGGCGTCCCTGGTGAAAAAGCAATAAACTATGCGCAGAATGAACAATATAAAGCAACACTTTTAATGAATTTAATGACAAATGACTTGCCAGTCGCGGATTTTTTAACCTTCCTTTGCGCTGTAAAAAGAAAAATAATTGTACATACATTTTTTGGAGAAATTTTTTTTATGAATGAGAGATTGTATGATAACAAATATAAATTTATATGGAAATTCATACTGCAAAGCAGTCTATAAATAAAGTGCTATTATCAAACTTTGCTTTGTCTATTGTCTCTTGGGTAAAGAACCAGGGAAGCTTTTACTTATATTCACAATTTTACGTTCAAGTTCTTTCTTCCCAACCTCGCGCGCTTTTAGAACCTTTCAGGCTTTTGTGCGTTATGTTTTTGTTCCCCCACTTAATGCTCCACTTTTATGCTCCATTTTTCTCACTAAAACTCTCGGTCGCTCCCCATAAAGTCGTTAAAATGCTCGAAAAATGCTTATCACAGAGAGGCTTTAATCAATTCTAAACGTTTTAAGAGTCTAGTTAAGGCTAACTAGAATGTATAGGTGGTATGACAACAATGTTTATTATATGGAGGAGAGTGTTTTACTGGGAACTAAACCACTCGTAGATTCCATACGCCACTTCATCCGGGACCCGAGTGGCGTATTTTCCGTATGTCACCTTTGTGAGTGTCGTATCGTTCAATGACGTCACGATTCCCGCCTTTTGCTTTTGTTGAATTGGTTTCTCCATATAATAAAAAGAACATTACACGTTGGCTCGAAGATATGAATTTTATGTTCTCGTGGCAAGAACAATATCTCACGAGTGAGCGAAGCGAACGAGTGAGATATTGTTCTTGCCACCCGAACATAAAATTCATATCTTCTCGCCACCGTGTAATATCCTCTATATACAGTCATACTAGTTAAGAGTTTTACTACAGCAAAAAATTGATCCTCTACATTGCTGTATTGAGGTCAAATTTAAATATATGTTTTGAATTTTGAGTTTAATACCGTCATTTTCTCTTAAAAATGTTTCAGTTTTTATTGTCTCTGCGAAAGAAAACAACACTGAATTTTCCAAGAAAATGGCTGCAGTGACATGACTCTCTTATAGAGCGTTTTCTCATGACGTCATGGCTACCATATCCAATCCTGTGGGAGTTGGACTCTTTTCTTATATAAACGCTTTATTTGTTCCAATAAATTTGCATAACCGCTGGTATCGTGAGTGAAAACGCTATATAAGATTAGTTATTGTTATTATTTATTTATTTTTTTCACAAATGAATAGTTGAGATTAACGAAACCAAGAAGTTTTAGTAAACTTTTATTACATTTCATAGGTTAGAGGGAAATTATCAATTGAAAATACCACTGAGAAAAAAAACAAAACAAAACAAAACAAACAAACAAGTACGTAGAAAGGACAACTTTCAATCAACCGCAAATATAATAAATTAGTAACCATAAATGTAACAAAGTTTTATCAACAAATGTAATAATCTATCGCGACCTAAATGTAATAAACTTTAACCATAAATGTAATAAACTCAATACAACCACAAAAATTGCCTGATTTTTACCTTTAAATAGTTTTATTTAATTTCATACGAAAAGTAAAATATCGCTAGAGGTTCTCCTGCTTATTTTCAGGCCACTATAGGAAAGATAATATGGTCAAAGGCAGTAGGGTTCTGATGGAGGTATAGAAATATGATAATTTTGTCGAGAATATGGTATTGTCTAGTAATTCTTATAAGTAGAGAATTTTTTTAAAATACTCGGATAAAACGGTAGGAATTTTAGTGTGTACACGTAGCTGAGTACTGTCTGAAAAATAGTGAGGAATTTTGTCTTTCGATAAACTATATCACCACGGTCTCCATATCGTTTGTTTGCAAGTCGCCTGTTTACTGTTGCAGTCTATAACTCGGAAAGGCACCCTCTTGTGAGTAATGATGTTTGGATGAATCATGCTCGGTGTATCTCGTAGCATGAGAGGCTGAAATACACCCTCATGTGTTTGAATGGGAGACATTTGTAATGAATTGACGTTCTCGTGACAAGGCGCCTTGGTCTTATCTGATCCACCTTCTGTTGTGGATACAGCGTTGCATTCAGCTGTTTCGATACGCTCTTCTGTCCAAAATGCGTTTTGTTTTGTTTTAAATTCGTTCCCTGCTTTCTTAAGATCGGTGTCTCTGTTGTTTTCTGTTTCCTCTGATATTTTGTTTTCGGTAGCAATTCCCATGAGTTCTGTTAAAAGGATGGAAAAAAAATGACATCATTAAAGAAAATAAAAAGGGCAATGCAAAAGAAAGATACCCATCAAGAAAAACCATTTTTACTACTGAAGCCAATTTCTAAACAAAGCTTATGCCAAGAAGCTGTCACAATTTTCATCATCATCATCATCATCATCATCATCATCATCAATTATTATTATTATTATTATTATTATTAATACTGAGTATTTTTTGATACTGGCCGCACTAAAAGCTAAATCTTACCTTTTCGCCTCACGTTCCTTATATACTGCACTGTGAGCTTTAGAATATCCTCTTTACCTATTTTTGCCTGAAAAAGGTAGGAATTAGGAATCAATTTGATATTGAGAATATCTGCGTAAGCTTTTCTGACGAAATTATTTTCTTTAGAGGCTTTTTCGCTTTGGAATGCGTTACCTGGTGAAACAAGAACAAGCCTTTACTATCATCGATCAATTTATGAAGTAACCGAGCCATGGGGTTTCTAGCATAAGCCGGCATTCGTACTATTGTTGATTCCGGGGCTAGCGCGCTGCAGACGTCACCTTTGTAACTCAGTACGATGGCTTCCTTAACCCTTTAAACCCTAACATCAAAATTCAAATTCTCATTTGTTATCCCTATACGTTTTCAATAGCAGTAGTGGGGAGAATTTGTTGAAGTATCAATAAGATTCATCTTGTGTTATCATGTCCTTAATTCTCATGACCACTGTGTTTTACAAAGCAGTGATATTACATGGAGAAATTTGACGCTGATCACTCTTAGGGCTTAAAGGGTTAAGTTATACAGTCAACTCTCTCCAAGACGAACACCTTTGGGACCGGCACTAAGTGTCCGTCTTAGAGAGATGTCCGTCTTCTAAAGAATCAAATAAAGGGAATAAGCAAAGGCAGGGACCAACTCTAGGTGTCCGTTTTACAGAGGTGTCCTTTAAGAGAGAGTCGACTGTAATCTCAATTGATCAAACCTAATTTGTATGAACATGAGTAAGGTGGACGGTCAAGGGACATATTAACAACAGCAGTGATCGGGGACCTCCTTGAATTCATCCTTTCCGTACCGTGTAGAGATCTAATATGCAATAATCGTGCCGGTCACTGGTATCAGAGAAAAGACGAATGGAAAAAGCTAAATATGAATTAGCAGGCAAAGTAACCTTTGGTTGTTTGTTTAAAAGTCTTTCTTGGTTTGTTTTTCAATTTTCTGTAGTGAGGCATGCTCTTCCGAGGGAAATTGATGGTTAGTGGTGAAGATGATTCAGAAACTAGAGACGATGTTTATAGGGATTCGGAATGAGGTCCACTACAGATGATAAACCAAGCTAATTGATGCCTTGTAAATCTCCTTGAGTATGTAATTTCATAGAATGTTTCTTACTTCCTTTTTTTTATCTTTCTTTTTTTGCCCTATATTTCACGCTTTTCATGCTACCCATCACGTACCCCTTTATTTTATTACACCCCCATAAGTCACATTGAATAGTTAACTATGTAAAGACCCCATTTTCTTTTTATTATTTTTATTCCACCCATTTTGAGCATGCGCAGCCATCATCACTCACGTGCACTCCTGAGGGCCCGAGTACCAAATCTCTCAGCTCTTCCACGCTTCTGCTGATTCTGTCTCGGCGCAGACGATCTTGTAAAGATTTATTTACCTGAAGTAAGAAAGAACCTAACATGTAACGAAATAACGTGACTAATCAACATCTAGAGTAGTTTCTGAGACATTCGTGAGAATCTGTAGATAGCATGATAAACTATTAAAGTGTGCTCTTTTTGTGCCTCACGTGATCACATATTTCGCTTCTTGCAGCCGACGTTTTCGTTGAAGTGGCAATCTCGATCGATTTCTGTGGGTACAAACTCGTTAAACACCCTGACCGACGAATCGTTTTTGCACCATTCAATAAACCTTTAGTTTGCTTCCAGCAGTAAAGCTTGCGTTAATATTTTAACATTTGGGAACAAATTACAATTTCTAGTTTGTAAAATCCTTTATTCTACAAAAGATCTGCCCGAGTGTAACGATCGTATCAGACTCCCCCGTCGCGAGCGTATAAAATATGGAGTTAGATGGCATTTCCTTTACTCACACTATCGGGAAGACAGTTCAAACAAGTGGCAACCGGAGAAACAGGGCGCAATCTCTTGTTATTAAAGACATAAAAGAGCGACAGAATACGCGGGAACTAGAAACATCTCTCTATGGGCAAGAGGACACGATTTTCCGCGTGTTAGGGTGTATAACTCTTTCAACTATCTCTATTAACTTTTTGTTTTGCGCTCTGTCTCACCCTAGTTAAGAAAAAGACTGTAGCTGACTCAGCTATCGCCTTAAGGTGACATTTTTGAAAGCGCTTTACAGTAAACTACATGTGATGTATAACTGTGTGATTAGTGCTGGATTTATTGCAATTTTACAAAGTCTTTTCTGTTGAATCGGATTGTCGAAGAAGCTTTAGCTGGTGGTAATAGATTGTGTCTTCGGTGAATCAGAGGACAATATTAACGAGTAAAAACCAGTTACAAAGTGATAGATTTGCGATTTGCACACTTAAAAGAAATGGAAAGAGCGGCTTTAAATTATGCACTCCTTGAAGTTAAGATGTGCTTAACAGATTAAGGCAGCCGTGATGTTGCCAAAATGCATTCAACTACTTTTGTTTCTGAAATCACGAAGGAAAGATCAAGTGCACGGGTACTACATCGCATTTCCCTGAAAACATTTAATGAAAAGTGACCTCAGTCCTAGTAAATTTTCGGGGACATCATTCGGGAAATCTATTCTACTCAACGATCACCCAGAATTGAATGTGATTAGAAAGACATTTTATTTGGCCGAAACGGGTTAGACTAATCTAAAAAGAAGTGTATTCGAGAAAGCTGAAAAATTTATTTAAGATGTTTTACCATTGTAAAGAGAAGAAAAGCTTTCTTCAAACTCACCTTTTTATCATTTCTGTCTGTTGCTGGAGATTTCATGCTGTTTCCGTCCAATTTTTCCTCTCGTTTCACTTATACTTCGTTTCCTGCGACGAAACTCCGAACCGTTTTTCCTTCTTGCTAAGAAAACGAGTTGTTCCGCACAAGTCGACGATGGCTTAAAAATGTGTTTAACAATTCTAAAATCCTTGTGAAAGAAGGAATAAATTGCACAATACGCCCGTCATATCGTACAAACGGAAGGATGATTAACACCTGTTTAGAACAATACACTATTTTGCAAAGGCTGCAACAATCCGTACGAAGCATGTAATCGGTCCGGTTGAAATTGTTTATAAAGAAGAGCAAGGTATACTGCGCTAGGGTTTTCAAATAGCAGAATGAAATTGAAAGCACTTTGGTAAAGCTGAGTATTTAAATTATGGACTCCGGGTTTTTTTCGCAGTAGTGTTTGAATGAAATAAAGAACCTGCCGCATGGAATATTAAATTTCCCGCCAAATTTCCCGCGAAAACTAAAGGCGTGGTAATACCGTAGCAATGCTGTAATAGGCCAATTGTTGACGAAATACTTAACTTCAAAGCAGCACGTTTTCGGCAGCAGGTTGATCGCGTGCGACCTCTTGGTCAGTAACATTTGAGCACTATCGGTTGTCTTTTTATGAATTAAAGTGACAAGGCAACAAGGGGCTAATTGAATTTTGCAGTCTTACTTTGGACATAAGACAGCAATTTTCAAAATACGCGCCAAGGGTTTTTCCCTATTCAAACAACCACGTGTTCAACGTTGGTCTTAATAATTGCCAGTGCTTCTGTAACACACATGTGTGAATTTTGAAAGCCTTTTAGTTTTAAAATTTGCCTGATATTTCACTCGAAAAGACCGCCAACTCACCTCTTTTGTCTTCTGCGAGCATTAAAAACATCTGCTTCATTAAAGAAGGCGAAATTAAAGTAATGGTCTTCATCTTTCAATTTTAAGCACGCGTGCCATCAAAGACAGAACAGGAAGTAATATTGCCGGAAGACTCAACTAGTGAAAGGGCGACTTTTGAATCCTTTTGAGACTTTCGTAGGAGATACTCGTATATTCTGTGATAGCTTACCAGCCAACATATCAGGGTACGGGAAAAAATAAATAGAGCTTATGTTCATGATTTTCGGAAGCTGGTTACACATACGAGCGGTTTATCCAAACATAAAAAGAAAGAAAGATCGACCGGCTGGCCGGCCTCTTTAAATCGCCGTCGCAGGTTCCCCCTGGGGAAATCAAAGTTACCGTTGAGTTGTTCTACCTAAAAATGAAGTACACGCGAATTTCTTAAAGGAAAAGAATAATAATAATAACGCTTCTCTGATCAAGACACTTCTTTATTTATAATTTATTGGCGGTAACTGACCGCAGTCTATTTACAGCAAAATTAATTAACAGGTTCCATTACTGTGTTTGCCCAAATGGTTAATTAAGCAATGGTATGACGCGTGCCTAGGTGGGAACACGTGGAATACTAATTTCCCGCCAAATTTTAAAAGTTCTTAATCCCGCTGCTGCTCATTAGCACGAAAAAAAGCACAAACACGGCAAACCTGTGAAAGTAATCGTGGGAGGTAATTTACTTATTAAGAAAGCCCCCAAAATATTTTTATTGAACTGTTCTCTTTTACTTATGAGGATTAACGCAGATAAAAAAGTCGGATATATAGTATTTAGACCATGCCTTTTTCGCTTTTCAGCACTGCCAAGAGAGAATGACCTTGGTACTGCTGCATAGTGCCATAAAATTTACATCCCCACTTGTTTTCTCTGGAGAAACTTGTTTTATATCAGATTGTTTTGAATTGGAATTCGAAAGAAAGAATCGTCAGAGTACTATATTGGTATTCACAGACGAAATGGATAATTTTTGAAAAAAAAGAAAAAAAAAAGAATGTTATGTCCTTTTAGAGTTATATTAAAGGAGTATCAAAGATCATTGAATCGCGGTTAAAAATATTCCTCGGATCAGTTTGGTAAAGTTTGTCATATCTATAATTTCTGTTATTTCTAGCAAAAAGGGAAAATACTTCTCAGGTCGCTACTTTAAGGAGGGTCGTTATTTCCGGGGGTCGCTACTTTCGGGATTTGTTATAAACCTGTGAAATTGTATCGCTACTTGTCGCTACGTTCAGAACTTTACAGTAACTAACTCCTGTAGAAGTCTAAAGTAGACGAAGTTCCTTTTTGCATTTCAGTTCGCAAAATGTTCATAAAGTAACAAATTTGAATGAAGGACAAATTCTCCTCATAGAGTGGTTTTCGTTTGAGTGTCGTAAAACCAAAACCAAAGTAATTACTCTGGCCAATCACATAGGACACAGACAATACATTGAACCAATCAAAACTCGAAGTAATTACATGTGGCTGACGCAAAGCGCGGGAAAATGCATGCGAGCGCGTCACAATTGGCTTTGGTTTTACTTCTGATTGGATGAAAAGGTGCCGCGAATCTTTTAAGCCAATCGCATCGTGTAGAAAGTGCAAAACCAATTACTTTTCGACACTCAAATGAAAACCGCTCTAAACACAACGAAAAATGTATGTGCACTATGTTCCGCTTGAGGGGGGGGGGGAGAGGGGTTGCTCAAAAACGTTTTGTACGGGGAGACCCCACTCCGAGGTCCAACCCCTCACCCTTTTATATACCATTTTCGACAGAAAAGGTATCCTTTCGTATACCTTCTATTGACAAATGGAAGCCCGTTCAAATACGTTGGATTTTTAACTGCTGTAAATGCACTATAAAACCAGAAAGTTTTATCGGCTTTTTCACAGCCATGAAATGCATCTGTTAGCCCTTTTGGGCCTTTTTACGCCCGAAATGATAGACTTCCCTACCATTTCATTCAATTTAACAAGTGAAATCCCCGCCCTTTCGTGTCCCTGAAGTCTGAAAAGGTACCCCTTTCGGACGAGACCTCCCCACATAGGCCATTGTAGGGAGTACCCCCGAGACCATGATCAGGGCTGTCAATAAGGGCCGGTAGCCGGCCAAAACCGCCGGCTAGTTAGCCATCCTTAGCCGGCTACTTTCATCTCCTTCTACCATAACCGGTAACAAAAAATAAGTACCATCGAATAATGATGATCAATGACATTGAACGTATATTGAACTAGTCTAGATCTGTGAAACGTTCGAACCATGCCATGTTGTGAAACGCCCGGGACACTTTGACGGCATCGTTCCCAGTCTTGCGTGTATTCTGACGAAGCAACATGGCGTCCGCGATGGAAAAATACCTCTTGAAAACCCCTGGAAATAGGGTTTCCGAGACTCTAAATTCCAAAATGTCCTTAGATGCCTCGGTCCTCAAGAACTTGTGCATTTGGTGCGAGTTCCAAAGCCGCCTACTATTCGTTATCAGCCTGCCACTTAAAAACTTTTTGACAGCCCTGCATCATGTAGAGGTGCTCAATGTCCGCTTTTCTTTCGTTGTCCTTAAATGAGTGTGCCTAATGTGTCTACTTACTTTGGATCATTTACAGGACCAAGATGTGTTGTTCAGATATATATAATAACAATAGCCGTTATAACAACCGCTGTTTGACATGAAAATATCAGATATATAAACAGGCCATAAACAGGAGCCCTGTCATAAATTATTCTTGACTTTGTACATGATTATGGCTATCTCATGCCTCCGGTTCTCAGGGGCACCCAACGGCAATTTTCGGGAAAATATCTGTTCGGAAGACGATTTGAGATCTAGAATTCTCGGAGCTTTTGTTGTAAAAATTCTTGCTTGCCTGCCTCTCCTAGGGTTTTCGAACATCTACAAAATGGTATCATTACCCATTTTTAACGGACTTTGACCCTAAAAAAGGCCACCTAGAACTTTCGGGAGCCTTTTCCTGGCTGAAATTTTCGAGAAGGTAAGTTTTTATCCCTACAATTTTCGGATCACTAGACTTTCAGCTAGGAAATCCGAACAGATGAAAAGTTTTTAGGGGATAAAAATGTGCGTATATCTACCGTTTGAATACTAAAATACGTTCAATAATGCTATGTTAAGTGGTTTTGAACTATATCCTCGTTGGGTGCCCCTGGGTTCTGCAAAGAAGGGTGTTTAATAGATGGCAATAGACTGTTCTCATCGCCCTCTCTTGGATCCTCTCGGTCGTTCTACTATCAGATACATGTATTAGCCTGTGTACAGACGTCCTCCCTCCCTCCCTCAGAAAAAATCGGGAGAAGAGACTCTTCTCCCGATTTTTTCTGAGGGAGGGGGGACGTCTGTACACAGGCTAATACATGTATTCCCAGTTGCTTCAACTAGCACTTAGATTCTAACACTTAGCCAATATTTCAGGCGCGCCGCCCATTTTTTTCAAGGGCTTAACCACAAAATTCCTTCATCATTTTTTTTCAATCAAATGATTGCGCTGACCAAAAAAGAAAATAAATAAATAAATTATAATTATAATTAAAAGAATAAATTAAAAATAAATTAAAGAAAGTAGCATTGATAAAAGAGTAAAGAAGAACTCCAAAAAAAAAAAAAAAAAAAGGGGGGGGGGGGGGGGGAGGGGAAAAAAAAAAAAAAAAAACAATATTCCCGTAAAAGAAGAAAAGAGAAGAGAGGAAAAAAACAAACACTACACAATCACAACATTTATACAAGTCAAGACGATAATAGACACAAATA